GTTAGTTTTCTTAATACAAAATATCATCTCTCCAGTGCCACTAGCGTAATCTAATTACACTTAGAGGACTCGAGATACTGATCACTAAAACAATTTATCGCCAAAATAATGAATTCCTTTTTACTTAAGCAATATAAGTGGCGCTTTGTAAGCGCTGAAGCAATTTTGGGATTCCAAAGAAAGGCCATAGAACGATAAGTCAGTTCAGGTAATGCAGGTAGAATAAGAAACTTTGGCACTGCAAGTTTAAAATCTTTATTTAATCGAAAAAATCACAATATTCTCAATATAAATAAATAATTCCTTGCTCAAAACCTTGTAAAAGAATTGTTCTAAATTGTGGATAAGTTCTAGGAAATACTAGTAGCCTTCGGGAAAGAAAGTCGTATTTACTACAGCAACGGTTTAAAAGATTCTTCAAAGAAAAAGAAAAAAAAGAGTTCTCCCTTCTAGTATTTCGGTAGATTACATGCTTAAAAATTACATATTTCAAAAAGTTTTTGAGTTATAGCAATTTAAAGAGCAGCCGCTCGGCAGCTAGAGAGTCTTATTAGCTACGAGTGAAAACGATCATTTTATCTTTAAACGTGTTTTTCTGGAAACATCATTTTTCCGAATTTGCTGAAGTGATTACTCAAAAACAAATGATCCGATCACTATCGATTTTTTTTACATGTTCTATATATAGTTCTCCGTACAATGACCTATCGATTTTTGATCTGATCAAAAAAACGAATTTTGGCAGACCAAAAACGACCAAAATCTTGGGTACAATTCGACTATTTTTTTTTAAACGCCGCCATATTGTCAATTTTTGATTTTTTTTATCGTAGGCCATTGTACAGACAATATTATCTTATCGAGAATTTTTTTTTCTTTAGATTTCATCCATGGGTAAGACCGGAATCACTTCGCGCCGTTGGAGAGCGACTATAACTTAAATTTTTTTAAATTTTTTTCTTCAAAAATTTCCCTGTATATTCTTGAAACATGTATAAATATATTCTTAAAATTTTGAAATAATTGAGAAATTATGTTTTTAATAAAAATTCCCAAAAATCACCTTGTTTTAGGCCATTACACTAGGTGTGCCCCTTAAAATCCCAGAAAGTTAAGTAGAATGTTGGTATGAAGTTCTTGGAAATATACGTTTTTAATTAAGTTAAAAAGTTAAAAAAACATTACAGCCAAAAGGCGATTTCGTTAACACTCCGGCTTGTGTCACACACTTTGATCTCCTCGGCCCCTGCAACAATCAGTTGATGAAAGTTTCATAAACTTTGCAAAGAAATGTTCCGATGAATTAAAAAAATTGTTATGGCCTTCTACATTTTATCAAAGAGAAAATTTCGATTTAAGAAAAAAAACTTCAGTAACATTAAAAAAAAACCAATGTGCTGCAGCAAACAACTTTCGAAATTACAGCTGACAATTCTATGGGAAAATTTTATTATTTTTAGCGCCGCAAAAAAATCATCAATCCGGCAAATATTGCAATATTTTCAAATCTAATTGGAAAAAACGCGCTTACACCATTTTTCTTTAAAGCAGCTCATATATGTATGTATGTTTGTATGTATATGTAAAAAAATGCACATGTTATTTTTCAGTTGAAGTTTTTAGAGCGGAAATTGATTGCATAAGCTATAGTTGAACGCGCTTACAAATTCCAGAAATAAATAATAAAAAAATAATGTAAAATAATAACATTTATATGTATGTACAATATATACTATTTGGATGTCAATTAACGAGTATATATAATATATAAAAGTTTATTTACCAATCAGACTGATCTTTGTTGCTCAAACGTGAGAAAATTGCATTCCAATAATTATAGTTTAGTTTAATCAGGACTCACATCCTGGATTGTAGATTGCGAATTGAAATTTTGATTTTCTGTGTTAAAAAAATAGTGTTTACTATTTAAAGCATTCAATTTTACATCATTCAAAGTATTGTTTTCAGAAGCGAATACTTTTTTCCAGCTCTCTGGTAATTTTTCAAAACCATCTCTAAAACTTGAATCCTACCCATCCTTGATCCAATCATCAAGGCATTTTACGATTTCTACAAAAGACCCGAACTGGTGACACACCAAATTGTTTTACATACGCCAAAAGGTCGAGAGAATACGGCGGGTATGGTAAGATCTCCTATTTCCGCATATCCAGTTAGCTTTTGACTGTTACAACCAGCCTGGTGGGGTCGAGCGCTTTTATGTTGTAAAATCACTTCGTCAAGCCTTTCGGTCGTTTCTGGCGGGTTTTCATGACCTACCGGGCCGGCGCAGATACATTAAAAATTTCCACAAGCATTCGATGGGCTTCAGCTGCAGTTTTCTTCCAAATAAAAAAAAAGATAGAAAATCAAAACTTTCTGCAATTGCTGTTTATTTAACAAAAATACCCACAATTACGAAGAGACAAAAAAGAAAAGAATGCAGTGGTCAGAAATAGACGCTGCTGCATACAAATTATTGTTGACAAATGGAAAACTTTTCCAGTGAAATACATAGGAAATCGGTCACAACCATTTGGAGAACCGATCGAATAAATTTATAAAGGCGTTTATACTACGAATTTGTTAACAGTACCTTTTCGTGGTTTCTCTCTTCTGTGTGGAAAAGTTTTCTATTTAACAAATTCAAAATTGTTTGTTGTTATTGCCAAAGAATGTCAATAGCTGACGATTTCAAAATTTCAACGATGTTTCTGTTTATTTTTTTTTTTCATTGAACTACTCAACGGCCTAACCGATCTGGGAAACCACCCAATTTACTCACCAGGTGGCGCAACAGTCAAAATATTCTGAAATACTTCTTTTCACTTTTCAATTTAGATAATATTTAGAACTTTGTTTAGCAAATCAAAAAAAAAAAAATATTATTTTGACTGAATACTTACATAAAAGTTTCCTACATTGACGAGTTAAGGATTTGTAAAATAACAAAAATTTTACGATATTTGAAATATTATGAATATCAAACTGAACAGAAACACATTTTTCGAAGAGCCAATGTGTCACTATTTCATTTTTAACAAATAAATAATATAATTGCAATTTTACAAAATAATTTTCAAACTGATGAGAGAAAAGTTGGCTTAGAGAAGTTTTTATTTCTGAAAAGAGTGACCAAACCATATCAAATTTTGAAATCAAAAATTGAAAAATAAATATAAATATTACAGTGTAAGTATAAAACTGTAGGTCATTAAGAGCTTAGAGTGTAAAATGTTTTCAAATATGTGCTGCCGTCAAATTCGACTTTTTTAAATTAATAAATTAATAACAAATTTGTTGCATTTAGAAACTGAAATTAAGACTTGCAATAGGAACGTAAAACTCGAAAGAGTTAAGAAGAATGTCCGAACCAAATGTTTTTGTGAGAATTATCCATTTTGAAGCCAAACTTTAGATCGATAAGCATCGAGAGATTTTAGAGATGCTACAAGACGGGTTTTCTTGAAATATTAATTCAGGAAAAAGGATTAAAGCAGAAATTTAAAAAAAAAATATAATTTTCGCATAAAGCAAGTAATGAAGCCTGTTTGAGACAATAACATATTTTTGCTCTAAAATAAGTTCACAGGTTGCCATGCTCTACTTCAAATTTTTTGTTCATATTTTTTCCATAAACCCACTGGGTGCTCCATGTTTTATGTCGGTATGTAAACCTTGAATAACTTTGGGAAAAATCAACAGATTTCTATAAGTGATGTAATTTTATTCAGTTTGGTTCCTTACATTTTTCTTTGGACTAGTTTTTGAAAACAATATCAATCAAATGGCTAACTTTATTAGCAATTACAAAATGACTCCTATTTTATACGTTGGCCATTACCTTTCCGAGCATCTCGGCTGTTATAGCGTCGCATTCAGCACGAGTGTTTGCCCATCAATAGTTTGAGGCTGGTTGGCGTAAACCTAGTTTCTCAGATAATCTTACAAGAGAAGTTCGGGGGAGTTAAATCAGGTGATCTGTCAGATGGTGCCCTTTTGCCGCGGTATTTTTTCCGATATGCACGTTGACTTAACACAGTGGAACGACTGTTCTCGATGTAAAATGTTACTATTTCAGCGCGTTGTTCCGGTCTGAAGCGATCCTTGGCGATCCATGACAAAAATTGTGCTGAATTGACGTTTCCAAAACATATCTGATGTTATCCCTCGGTGGGTAAATGTGAAAGTTATTCAGCGTTTACATAAAGACATAAAAGATGGAGCACCCTGTAGTTTCCGCTAAATTTGGAAGATTCCAAAAAAAAAATTAAGTTTCAAAAAAACTGTGCTTTGTTTCTCAATACCTCTACTTCCTTCGTTCTTGGCACGGTCACCACTTACCCGATTGAACAACAGCGGGCTGTTCGGCGTCAATTTTAGACAGCTCAGTGCTCAATCGTCTGCGGTATTCGGTGTTGCCAATGCGTAAAGGTCTGTAAATCAAACCGCAAAACCTTTCTCTTGAAAACTCCTCCTTCGCGACCTCATCAGATGTTGTCTTCTGCATTATAGAGCAGGACGGGTATAGGAATGAATTTTACTTTCCAATTACTTTTTCGCTCCAAACGAGTCGCTAGATTTATTGGTTGACATTGTACTTGGTACTAATACTGTTTCCATGATAGACTTAAAAGTTATGACTGTTAATAGTGAAATTGCAGCCAACAGGCTAATGCTACTGGGTTTTCGTTGACAGATATTTCGTCCAGTCGTGGGGCAGTGCCAAACTCAGATTACGTCTATCCAAATACAGGCCTAGATTTTCTAAGACACTGCCCGAATTTCTTGTTTTATTCTTATACAAAATTCCACTTCAGAACTCATTCAGGTCTTAAAGACATTTTGTTGGACTCGGTCAATCGGAAATAATGGACAGAGCCGGTTTTTGAGATCAATATCAAATGCTGCTGAAGAGTTATTTTCCTATAAAATATATATGTATATACAATACTCATACCTCAAGTAATAATTTTCTTCTATTCTCCTTTCCAGCTGCCACACATGCAACGTCGTCGCTTAGGCTCCGTTGGCGATTCGGCGCCACCTTCCGAATCCTCCGAGGGTACAAATTCATCCGAACAAAATGAGTTGATGATCAATCCCGATTGGTCTGCACACTCGCACACATCCTCCGTGCATACGCATACAAACACACACACCACAGCATCGTCCACGAACACGCATACCGCCAACAACAACCACAACAATGCATATTACGTTGGCTCCGACATTGATGCCGATACCTTAAGCATCGACACGGCTAGCCAATCGAACCTTTCCGAATATGAACGTGGCCAAGTGGAGAGTTTCTTTGGCGGTTTAGGCACTGACATCTATGTCTGCACATCGCTAGCCAATCTCTATGAGGGCACCGGCAAGGAGGGAGATTGGCGTCTCGTCTTCACGGGTATACCAGTGATTCTGTATGATCGTGGAAATGCCCGTGCACGTAGCGTACCACGTGTTACGCTCGTACTCGCGGAACGCGGCTCCTCCTTTGCACTTTGGTCAGATCGCATAGACAACTTGTCCGCCTATCGTGTCGCCGGACCATCCTTTCACACGATGTGTCTCTCAACGAATCATCAACAGCTGATTGGCTTTAGTTTCGATTCAACCGATTCGGCACGTGAACTCTACACACACATTGACAAGTTGGTAAGTGATCCCGAAAATATAGCGCTCTCAGTGCCGGGCAAGAAGAAACCGAAACAAAAACGTGTCAAGCCAGCGCCATTACCGCCGAAATCACAAATTTCGCAACCATGCCAATTTCAACATATCACCAGTGTCACGAAGGAGGACACCGATCGATATTATAGTATGCAGGCGTTTGCGCCGCCATCACTGAAACACCGTTAGGATGCGCAGCGAGAGAGAGAGAGAGAGGCGATTGGAGGTGAGCCGACAAGTAGCCATAACACACACTGATGCACAGGTATGCGTGTGTATATATAGAATATATTATATTATATATGTAAGTCGTTGGGTTTGGTTAGGTGTGTAGTAGATTTTTCTTTTGTAAGCGCAAAGCTGCGGCGTCAATTCGTCAATTCGTCAGTTCGTTAGTGTGTAAGAGAAATTTTTAAAACTAAAATTTTATTACTGAATTTTGCAGCAGTTAAAAAAAAAATTACAAAAAACAAAAACAAAAAATAAACTTTAAACAGTTATTGAAAACTCTACATACTAGTAAATACATACATACATATAACGACATTTATATCTTTTTACGCGCCCACAAGTCAAACATAATATATTTGTGTGAAAAAAAAAATATAGTAAATATATATGTATCATATGTGACGTGGAGCATGTATGTGCCACATACATATTTATCTGTGATATGGTCAAAAAAAAAAAAAAACAAAAAAAAATGCGTACATAAATAATGAATGATTAAATGAAAGATAATGGAATTTGGTTAGAGAATTTCTATCGCAAAAAATTAAAATAGATTAAGAAGTTTAGATAAAGCAAAAACAAAATTAATACCGTTGGTCTAGTTAATTTTCAAGTGAATTGTAAAAGTGGTTTTGCTGATATGACAGTTTCTCGAGGATACCGAGAATATTTCAAGTAAAGTCCATAGTTATAAGATGCCGTTGACGGAACTGTAGAAATTTCCCAACTTATAGGGTGCAAAATTGCAGTTGAGACAAAAAAAAAAAAAAACAGTGCTGTTACCCCTTAAGTTGAAATAAGCAAAAATTATAATTTATTCCCACAGTAAAATGCTGAAAGCAATAAAAATTAATTTGATTTAATTAATTAAGTTTATTAAGAAAATTTCTTATACTATTTTTATGTATTAAAATTATTCGAATTATAACCCAGAATTTCAACTCATAAGCTTTTATTTGTTGTTGGTTTATAGAATAGAAGGTTACGACACGAGCGAAATCGTATGTTTAATGACGAAGTTGGTACAATTTTATGGCTTGCCGATGATTTTAAAATAGTGTTGCCTAATTTTACTAAAAAACCACGTAACTATATAGTTCTAGCGTTAAATTTTTTTCTAAATTCATAACCGTCACAATAAAAACGTTCTGAATAGTTTTATGTATTTTAATATTCAAAAATTTCTAAAATATAAATATTAATATTTTTTTAACAAAAATTTCTTCTCTTCTTCTTCTTCAACTCTAACTTTCGGTGTCATGTAATACGACTGATATGAGAAAATAATTTTAAAAATATTAAATATTATCAAAATTCTATTTTCTTTATCTGCTGAAAAGCTTTTGGAGAATGGAGGATGCCTGGTGAAAAAATCGTGTTTGAAAATTCAAAGCGGCGGAAAAGTGGGCTATTTGTTGACAAAAATTTGAAAAAGAAACTTGTGTGAGTAATTCATTTTGAAATTTTCTGAAAAATTTAAAACAAACAAGCGTTGTTTTAGCAGGTTCGCTAACCGTCCCATTTTATGAATTTAGTGATAGAAATTTTTGAGTTTGAGAACTTGAAGATTTGGCATTAAGAAAACATGAATTCTCGCTTAGTTAAATATAAATACAATATAACATATGTATATGTAAGAAAGAAATATTTTTTTTTTTTTAACTGGTACTTGGGTATTAACGCCACTGCGAGTACACCTTTGTGTAAGACTCTTATTCACATTTGGTGGTCCACCCGAGCCACCTGAGCCGAGGCTTAATCGATACAGGCTACACATTATGCATTTCACATAATAAAAAACCACCAAATCTGTGAGTGCGTTGGCGTTATCAAAAAAAAATTATTATACAATTTGTGTTTTCTTCGGTATAAAAAAATTTATCCCATATTTTTTTATTATTATTTTTATGGAGGAAATTATTTCTTTTCGATAATATATATATCAAGTCTCGCCGTCTCTCTTTATGACGAAGTTGGTTCGGTGACGTCAACGGTTGTCGTAACTTTGTATTGTATAAACCTTGATATACATATAAAATGCTAAATATTTTTGATCAAAATTTCCTAAAAAGTAATTTATCGTATTATAATAATTCTTTTGAATTATCATCGTTCACTACCAAATACCATTCGCTACGCCTCTTCGCTCAAACTGAGACATACATTCGATTTGCTAGATCAGGACCTTTTATGCGATATTGAGCAGTCCTGTGCAGCAATAATGGGCAAATACATTGGTTGTTCCCTATCTGTTAACTTGCAGTGTGCTCTTGTATTTCAATTGTCTGGCATACTTTCATAATGGAATATTTAATTATGGGTTTTCAACTAAAGAGTTCAAAGAAAGTATTAATGCGAAAAAATTAAGGCTACCCTAAGCCGGTCCTGAGCATCGAGGTGACTACGCCACAACTTAGCCAAAAAGTTGAAAAAATCGCTCTCGACAATGTTCGACTAAAAAACAAACAACTCGCAGAAATGTTTGAAGTAACAGATACAGCAATTTTCAAAATCCTGCGCGAACATCTTGGCATGACTAAGTTCAAGTCAAAATGTAGTATGCCGAGAATGCTCACACCTACGCAAAAACAACAGCGCACAAGAGCTGAGCTGCTTTGGTTGTCCTGTATAAGAGGTTGGCAGGCAGGCAGCCCTAGCCCCGAGTTATTATATTATTTATAACTTGTTCCCATAAAAGAAAAATGAGCTGAAGTGTGCACAATTTTTTCACCGTTAATGAAGTCAAGTTGGCAGTTACGGCGTATTTTGAGAAAAATAAGAGCCTATGCTTTTTGTAAGGGTGTAAATAAGTTAATTGGAAAATCTGAAAAATATTTTTTTTTCTTCTATCTCCACGCTTTGGGCGGTCCATTACGCGAATATAAAAATATTTCCTCGCAACAAACGACTCTGTGTTTTTTTTAATTTTCAGTGGTATTGTATAGATAAATGTATCTTTATATATATTATATTTAAATGCAAACTTTTATATTATTTTTTGAAAGTGAAAATTATAATAATCAGAAAATGAAAATGTTTTAAGCATAAAATTCAATAACATAAAAGCCAAAAAATTTAAAACAGCAGGGTCTAAAAGTTAAAGTAGATTCTTAGAATTGGATGTTAAATCCCCCCCACCAAAATTTCCGGTTGCAAGTAAAAAACATCTTTCCAAAAAAAAAAAAAAAATAGAAATTTCATTTTTAATTTTAATCTAACAAACTCTTCGGTATTTAGAATCAATATTTATATGTATGTGTATATCGAATTTAGTTAATAGCCTAATTTGATAAACTATAAAAATGTCAAAAATATTATAAATGTATATATTGTATTTATGTAAGTATATTATCAATTAACAAACATAAAATTTTTTTGCCAAGCATCTTTCAGTCATTATTTATCCAACGTGGATGCGTAGCAAATGCATTATAAAAATATTAAATATTATTAATGTATATACATATATGTATAAGTATGAGTTTAATACACATACATACATATATGCATGTTATATTGTATTAGTCCGTTAATCAAATTATGTCATTTTTCTCACGCCATGCGATGTGTGCATTTGAAATTGACAAATTAATTAAGTTACCGTAAATGGTTTGAAAAAAATAAAATAAAAAAAACAAAATAAAAAAAAAACAAAAAAAAACCCAAAAATACACAATTGTTTATAAAGCAAAAAAAAAGCCACAAACGATTTTATTACTTTACGTGCAAATCATACAAATCGCAAGTAAATAATTTTGTTAAAAATAAGAGCACATAAATACGTCTATTTGTTTTTTTTTTTTTTTTTTTTGGCATAAATATGTACATATGTGTGGAAATTGTGTTTTTGCATAAAAGAAATGTTGATAAAACGCCATTTGACATTGTTAACGTATTTTGTTGTAGTTGTTATTTGTAAATTAAATACAACAATTGCGGCGCAACTTGCAAAATCAAACGGTCATTGAGGCCAGCGCCTCACTTTGAACTTGTCTCATATAATATAATAGAAATATATAGCAGAAACGTGTGACGACAACAACAACAAACAAACAAACAAAATAGAATTAAATAAAAATGTTATAAATCAGTAGGCATACATACATACATACGTGTATGTATATTAATTGTACGTAGCTTTTATTATGCACTATACAGTGGTATATCGTATTTAATATCGTAAATCAAATTCAATGTCAAATTAATTAAATGCATACATATGTAAGTGAAATCAAAAATCTAATCAAAAAAAAAAAAAAAATAAATAATAATAATAATAATCAGTGACATATATTATATAATTATAATATTATAAACAATTTGTTTAACATTAAACTGGAATGTATTATATATAATAAATATTTAGTAATCTCTGTCTTGCTTAAAATATGCATATACAAATATTATTATAAATAAATTAAATATACATATAAATAAACAAATAAAATATTCAATATTCCACAATATGTTTGTTTGCTTTATAGGGAAAATGGAAACGGTGAGGGTTAGTAAATATAAAAATAATTACAGAGTTGGTAAGCTGAGCATTAAGCTGCAATGATAACAAATGGTCAAATTGCACTACTCTACAAACAACAATTTGTGTTTTGTCTTAAAAATTATATTAGGATTTTTTATGATTGATTTTTAAAATTTACTTTTGTAATGTTTTTAGCAAATAAATTTGAAAATAATAAAAGTTTGTTTTAAGATCAGGTTCCTCTATAAAAGTAAAAAAAAATCGGAATTTTCTGCCTGGCAAATACTGTTAGAAATAATATAGAATTAGTGCTGAAGACCAAGAAGTAAGTATAGACGAGGGGAGAGCGGTGCGCGCCAAGTGGTAAATACGGTCGCCCGTGCGCTTTAATTGCCTTTTTCTCGAAACCACATTTTTTCAACTGGATGACACTCTTATTTAGAACCTATCAATAGGTACTAAACGGCATTTTACTCCCAAAATGTCTCTCTATGTTCGGTACTATAACCAAAATTATTTAATACCTTTTTTTTCCAGCATTATTGTGAAGGGGACAGACCATAAAATGTCACATTGTCTAAAAAAAAACCCCGTTTTGTATCTGGTACCTAACGACTCAGACTCGTCTCCTCCATTTCTGTTCAAGTTTTCTATGTTACTTAGTGACGGTTTGCGTAGTCGTATAAGTTTTACGGAGCAACTTGATAGTGCAGGAGGAGCTGCTTTTAGTGTTTTCGTAGAGTACATTGAAATCCAGACCTACCATGCTTTGTCGATTCTTTTCTCATGTGTCTTTTCCAGAATTTGAGGTATCTTGTGCGTTTATATTTGACCAATGGTGGCGCTACAAACTAGAGCTCCAGATACCCG